TATTGTGCAGTATGCAAAACAGGTCCAAGGCATTCCCAGTAAGCAAGAGTAGCACAAGGCAGACAACAAGAGGTCTAGAGCTGGTACATGCAGACTTGGTTGGGCCAATGCAAACCAGTTTGGGAGAAGCAAAGTATGCACTGGTCATTGTAAATGACTATAGGAGGTTTGGTTCTGCTATTTACTAAAAAGTAAAATAGAGGTACTAAAGAAATTTCATAGAAAGAAGGTATAAACAACAGGCATGTCAGCTCAAACTGACAGAGGTTCAGAATTCATGTCAACAAGTTTTCAACAGTGGTTGGGACAGTTAGGAATAAAACACAGACGCACAAATCCGTACACAGTAGCTGAGAATGGTGTTGCTGAGAGATGGAAAGGGGTCATACAAACCATGAAGGACTCACTGGTCTGAACAGATCATATTGGGGTGAAGCCATGTTGACTGCTAATTATTTAATTAATAGGTTGTGTCAGATCCGTGTATCAATGGAAGAAGGGGGGGAAGTTGGTACAAGTAATCCTTTTTGATGTAACCTGAATATATTAAATCTTATATTGAATCTGTATAACTTGCACATGATATACAACTGGATTGGAGCCAGATGTCTAGAAACTTGTCACCTCTTGGAGAGATAACAAGAGGAGAAGGGGCCATAAAAATTCCAGCTCTAGAAGATACTAGAAACTGGGAAACTCTCCTAAGATACGTTCCCAGAAAAGGGGAGGGGGGAATTAACATGTTGGTTCTTTGTCTGACTAAAACCACATCTAAATAAGGGGAGGGGTTCTAACTCCCTTTATCTGTATGCCTGGAAGCATCTTAGATTCTGCTTTGATTAGTACTGGGATTACTTCCTTTCAATAAAGAATTCCTTTTGAAGTGCCTGGCTTTCAGAAGTTCATTCTTTTTCAGTTGAAGGGGAAAAGTCCAGTGCTTACATATGTGGAGTTCCTCCATTAGTGATACTCCGTATGCAGTGCTATATGGGAGAAAACTATCTCTGGCACATTTAAGGGTTTTTGGAAGCAATGCGTGGGTGCATATTCCAAAAGCAATTAAAAGAAAGGGACAACCAAAGGCTAGAAAGCTTAGGTTTATGGGCTTTGAGCTAGGCTCAAAGAGCTATCACTTTAGCGATGGGAGAGAGAATAGTGATTTCCAGGTCTGCTAGCTTTGCAGAGCAAAATTAGAACAGAATTGATGCAAATTTCTGGGATGATTCACTAAGTGGACAGTGATCCACTTAGTGATGGTAACTCACTTAGTGATGGTGTCTGCGTTCAGGGAGGGAAGTTGAAAAAGATATGAAGAAAGAGAGGGTTAACACAAAGGACTAGTCAATGCCACGCAGGTAAGAGTGATGGAATAAAGGGATGCCACCTGACAGCTGTTCTGCTAGTAAAGTTAAAGTGTGTAATGTATGGTATGAGCCAAGAAACTATAAGAAAGTATTGACATTACCTAAAATTGAACAAGTAAAGTGGAAAGAAGCCATGGACAAGGAAATGAAATCCATGGGTGAACATAGCATATTCACATCTATGACTTTGCCACAGGGTAGCAAAGCTATAGGATGCAAATTGGTTTACAAGAAGTACTGTCCAATAATGAAGTACAATATAAAGCAAGGTTAGTGGCACAAGGTTTTTCACAGATGAAAAATGTGCACTATGATGAGGTATTTGCGCCAACTGTATAGAGTGAAAGCATCAGGCTGGCATTAGCATTGGCAGCGGCACATGGCCATAAAATTTGGCATTTTGACATAACCACTGCATTCATCAATGCAGAATTAGAGGAAGAAATTTACATGGTTCACCAGGATATGAAAGTAAAAAGCCTAACATGGTGTATAAACTGAACAAGGCCATTTATGGGCTGAAGCAGTCAGCCAAGAATTAGAATATATGTTTAGATACTGCATTGAAGGGTCTTGGGTTCAAGAGTTGCAAAGCTGATGGTTGCATATACACTGGAAAGTTAAAAGGTGGGGATTGTCAACTGTTAGCATTTGTGGATGATCTTTGTTTCATTGCAAAGAATGTATCACATGTAAACAAATTTGCTAATAAGTTGGAGAAGAAATGTGAATTAAAGAACTTGGGAGAAATAAAAAATTGTCTTGGTGTAGAGGTACAAAAAACTGAGAAATATTCTCAGTCAAAAAAGAAAAATTGAACAATTGTTGGAGAGATATAACATGAAAGACGGTAATATTGCTCCAACACCTATGAGTACAGATTTTCATAAGTTTAGCTGAGGATGAAAGTGAAGCCTGTATATCTGTCATAGGAAGCCTGTTATATCTGTCATAGTGGTCCAGACCAGACATAGCTTGCACAGTAAGCATTTTGAGTCGCTTTACTGCTGTACCAACGCAATTGCATTGGATGGGTGTAAAAAGGATTCAGGTATTTGAAGGGAACTGTGAATTTGGGTCTTCAAATACAGATCTCTGAAGAATTAAAATTGAAATGCTATGTTGATAGTGATTATGCAAACCAGAAAGTCCAATTCTGGGATTGTGACATTGTTTGGAGGGACTTTAATTGGTTGGAAGTCCAGAAAGCAAACAACTGTCACCATTTCTACTGTGGAGGCAGAATTTATTGCTTTACCTGAACTCTGTTCAGAGATAACTTGATATTTACAGGTGCTACAGGATTTAAATGTAAACTTACATGAAGCTGTATCGGTGTATGAGCATAATGCTGCCTGCATTAAAATGGCAGCAGGTAACAGAGTAAAAAATAGAAGCAAGTATGAGGACATTAAATATTGTAATGTAAGAGAAGCCATTAAATCTAAATTGATTAGCTTGCTTCACTGTGCGTCAGAAGACAATCTGGCCGACATAATAACCAAGTCATTAGGTGGAGTGCACCATAGGAAGAATATTAAGTTAATTGGATATGTCTCTTTCAGTCATGAAGGGAGGAGTGTCACAATATTCATGAAGCTGTTGCTTGTGTTTTGTGTTACGTTGGAAGAATCTACTATTGGTATTGTACAATTTATTCATATGTTATTATGTATATAAAGAAGTTAATGAATCCTGTTGAATCAGTCATCTGTGTGTGCTTTCTGGATTTGATTTCTGCAATAAACTAACAAAATTGAGATAGACTAACTTGACAAACTCAGATGATAAAAGTAGCAAGAATCAAGACATGAACTTTTATGGTCAAAAGTTATGCAAGGACAGCTAGATTTTTCTCCAAACTGTCTTCTAAACTGTAACAATGACAAGGCTGATGAAAGCATCTAGCCCAAGGGTCTCAAACTCAAGGCCCGTAGATCGGATCTGGCCTGCGATGTGATTGGATCTGGCCTGTGAGGCCATCCTGGTCTACCCGATGCTAAGAGGAAAGATTGGGCCAGCCTGGCTTTGGCCCGGTCTACCCAATGCAAAGAGGAAAGATCAGGCCAGCCTGGCTTCGACCCAGTCTCCCCAATGTGAAGAGGAAACATGCCAGTAGTTTGGGGAGTGGTATCAAATTGGCCAAACCACCCAGTTGGCCACACCCACCCAATTAGCCATGCCCGGCTGGACCCCCAAGATCAAACACAGCTTCTGATGCGGCCCTCAATGAAATTGAGTTTGACACCCCTGATCTAGCCCAATACTTTTAGGTTATAAAGCAACTGAATTTTATAAAAGTGTACATGTAGAGTGTGTAAGAACTTCTCTATTCTACAGCTTATTATTTTGTTTGCTGCTTTCTGCTTATTTCTTTTTTTCTGGAATCAAGAAATAAGACAGTTTCATTAACTATCAGATTCATATTGTAGATACCTATCAGCATATATTTGCTGGGAAACTGTTGATCAGCAATATGTACCTCAAGCTAGTTGTGCTGGAACTGATACAGAACAATGCTGGAATAATGATGTTCAAGATTTGATTCAATAAACCTTTGCAATTATTGTAATGTATTGGGTAATGTTGCCTTCTGTGATGATTATACCCAGCTGGGACAAAGATCCTAAGAAAGGAAGAAATCAAGGAGTATTTTTCTTGAATTTGTGGTCTTAATACATTTGGAGAACAGGAGTTAAGGGAGGCTGTTGTATCAACTAAGTCACTGCTTGTGAAATTATTTGGAAAGTGCTATGCTCTCTCCATATGAGAGAGTATAGCACTTCCCAAATAATTTCACAAGCAATGACTTGGTTGATAAAACAGCTGTAAAACTCTTAAAACTGCAATAAATAACAGTAAGAGATATCAATCTAACAACCAGTTACAAAAATAGTTGTGAAAAACTATGAATGCCTGAATAAAATTGTTATCTTTATGTTCTTTACAGGATGAAATTGTTGCAAACTTTTGACTTTCAAGTTCTTTTACAGTGACGAATAAAACAAACCAATAAAAGGGGCAAAAGAAGACTTGGAGACATGTTGCTAAGCAATGACCGCCAGGCAGCACCTGGAGCCATATTGGGCTACCACCTGTATTGAATGATACCTTCATAATCCCTAATCAAGTTGTTCAGGCAGAGTCTATTATTGCCCAAAATTTGGACAAAGTTCAAAGGCTGCAAGTTGTAACAATCAAATCCAAAATCTCTACTGAGATCCATTAAATCAAGTTTTACTGTATGTAGCACTTATTTCCAAATAAGATATTCTTTTTTTTTTTTTTCAAAAAAGAAGTATCCTACAAATTACAGAGCTTGAATTTAATAGATTATTAGAATAAAGGTAAATGTTTCCCTGTTCATTAGTGTCTGACTCTAGGGCACAGTGCTCATCCCTGTTTCTTGGTCTAGAGAGCCAGTATTGTTATTATAAATTCAAAAGAATTTTCCACCTGACTAAAAGTCAAAGAGCTTGGGAACCTATGTCATTAAGAAGAATAAAAATTGCAAAATTTCATTTGGACAATCTACTACTTATATTTGTGTTTTGATACCAAGCACTAATTTTACTGGATCTGGATTCTTAATTATTGTTTTCTAGCAGCAACAGCACATCAGTATGTTTAACATACCCAGCCATCATTCTGCCCAAAAGAGTGACATAGAGGGCAGTGCAGGTTGAAGTAGAATTACTGTGTTTCTCAATCTTCTTCTCCTAAAGGAGTAGAAAACAAAAAATTAATCTTTCTACGACATTGAAAACTGTTATGAATACAAAGGTTCATATGAAATACAAGAAACATCACATTAACATACAACTGTCCTTTGAACATATTGCCTTCGGGATGAGTCACTTTGTTCAAAACAAATTTGGTGGAAGGCGGAGCTTCGTCGCTGCGATACAGCTGCAATCTCGGGGCTCCGAGATCGCAGCTGATATCTTCGCCCCTGGTCGGTCCTAACGGACCTAAACCGTCCCGTAGAGACGGTGATAGTAAGGGGCGCGTTCTGTTGATCCCAGGGACATCGCAAAGTCCCTGGTGGATCCAGGAGAAGCCCCTTTACCATCAGCGGAGAGGCAGCCGTCAAGCTGCTGAAGCTGGGACAGCTCCGGAAGGAAGAGACAGAAAAAGAAAGAGAAAGTGTATCGGCTGGTGAGGACTTTTTTTTTTTTAATACTTGGGACTTAAGGACACTCTAGATTGAGAAGAAATCTGTAAAATCCTTGACAAAATTTGACTTAGCGGCGATTTTTCAAAGAATGTCAAAGTGAGGCTTGGCTTTTTACTTTTACTTTTTTTTTTCTTCACTGAACTTCTATTGCGATCTAGTTAATCAGACTGGTTTTTTCTTTTATATTAACTTGTTCTTTTTTCTCCTTTTTGACTGTTTATATTTTTTAAAATAGAGGCTCCCTTTAGTATCTTTTTTTAAATATATATAGATATACATATATATTTTTTAGGCTATTTTTGGGGGGGAAGAAAGGGGAGTGGATTAAAGAAACTTTGTAACACTGCCAACTAGAGGCTTGAAAATACTTTATTTGAAGTTGAGAGCTGTGAAAAAAATTTCTCTCAAGGTCACTGGAAACGATAAGATAGAGGGAAGAGCACTGGAGAATGTTTACACAGGTGCTCTTTGGGACTTCTATTATCAATTGAACATTTGAAGCTTGGCTTTGAAATTTGTGGAGAAGCCAAAATAAGAGCCTTGGATAAATAAAAGGCAGTGTGCGCTTTTTTTTTACTTTCTATTAGCTGTTTTAACCCTCCTCTTCAACCCCACAGTATTTTGTAATATTGGTATATTTATTTTTTATTTTATTTTATTTATTTATTTATTTTTAAAGGGGAAGCCTCAGAATATTCTTTTCTCCTTTTTTCTCATTGGGATTGTTGCCTTTCCATCTCTACTTTTAACTTATTTTTATGGCTATTTTTCATTTTTTGAGATCTTTCAATTGGATTAAGGTGTGAAGAAACTGAATAACCTTTTTCTTTTTTTTTCTATTATTTTTTAATATTATTGGGTTTTACTTTATTTTGTATTTTTCTCTTTATTTTTAATTTTTACTTTTGAATCATAATTGATTATTCCACAACAGGATTAAGGTCTAGAAGAACCTGAAGAATCTCCCTTTTTTTAATTTGGGCTTTTTACTTTTTACTGGCTTTTTTGTGTGTTTTCCTCTTTCCTAACTGGATTATAATTGGCCACCTTACTAATTGGATTAAAAGAGCTGGAAGACTCTGAGCTATTTAAATGAGTAAGAAAATTTTACCTTCGGGCATCTCAACTTCTGCTCCTGCCTCCCCATCAACTGGAGGACGACTTTCAACAATGGCGAAGCAAGATAAAGCACAAGTGGATTTAACGATGGTTATGCAAGGAATTCAAGAACTTAAAATGAGTATGGAACAAAGAATGGAGAGTATTGATCAAAGAATTGGGAAGATTGATGAAAAATTTGAAAATGTTCAACAAATGATGGTGAAATATGATGAGAGACTCCAAAAAATGGAAGAGAAAGACAAACAAAGAGAAGAGACAATTGGAAATATTGATAGCAGATTAACAATGGTTGAACAAGATAAAAGTGGGATGTTGAAGTGGGAGATGGACAGGTCAGAATTTTATCTCAGATTCCAAAATATTGAGGAAGAAAAAGGACAAAATTTGGCTGCAGTAATGATTGAAATCCTGGCTGGAGCTTTGGAAATAACAGAGGAAAAGATGATGGATGGAGTAGATGAGATATATCGAGTCTTCACAAGATATGCGGCGAGGAACCAATTACCAAGAGAGGTCCATGTCAGATTTACCAAAAAAACTATTAAAACTCAAATATTACAAGTGGCAAGAGAGAAGGTGTTGAAATATAAAGACAAAGAGATTGTGGTCTTAAAACAAGTACCCAGAAAAGTGAGAGAGATGAGAAGAGAATATCGATTCCTGACTAAAATGTTATTGAAAAAAGAGGTGAATTACAGATGGCTGATTCCAGAAGGATTAATGTTTACATGGCAAGAACAGAGACACAGAATTGACTCAATCGAGAAAGCAGAAATATTCTGCAATGAATTTTTCAAAAGAAGAGAAATAGAGATAGAAAAAGAGATCATCTCAACTGAACTTCAAGAGGATCAAATGGGGATGGGAAAAGAAGAAGGCGCAGTAGGGGGACAAGTGGAGACCAAAGAACAACGTGAAGTAAGATCCACGAGAGCTGTTAGACCTAAATATAAAACATAATCATGGAGGGAAAAAAATGATTTCTATGAATATAAATGGACTGAACTCAGCTACTAAAAGAAGAATTTTTTTTCACAAATTAGAGAAGTTAAAATTTGATATAATTTGTTTACAAGAAGTACACATTAAAAAACAACATGAACAATTATTGGCACGATCAAAATTAGGGAAAATATTTACTTCTCTGACTCATTGTAAGAAAAGAGGAGTGGTTTTGTACATCAAAGAAACCATTCTAGCAAAATTGATTTATACTGATGAAGACGGAAAAGTATTAATGGTTGAAATAGTGGATAATAATACAAAAATACTCTTGGTTGCAATTTATGCCCCGAATGATAAACAAGAAGAATTTTATAAAAAATTACATATGCAAACAATGGGATTGGACTATTCTAACATAGTTATGATGGGAGATCTCAATGGAATTGTAGATAATAAACTGGATTATACAGCGACAGCAAGACAAAATAGAAAGACTCTCCCCAAATCTTTTTTTTAAATGATAGATGAATTAAATTTAAAAGATATATGGAGAGAAAGAAATGCTAAAACTCAACAATATACTTTTTATTCAAATAGACATTTATCATGGTCCAGAATAGATATGATTTGGATATCAACAGAACTAATATCTAATATTCAAGAAATAAATATTGAAACAAGTACATGGGCAGATCACAATCCAATGACAATTAAATGGAAAGGACAAAAAAGAAGATCTAGATGGACATTAAATAATACTATTTTAAAGGAAAAAGACTTTTCACAATGGATGGAAAAAGAATTGGCCTTCTTCTTTAATGAAAACAAAAAAGAAGATACTTCAATACAGAATGTTTGGGATACAATGAAGGCATATGCGAGAGGATTAATAATAGACTATACAAAGAAAAAGAACATTAGAAAGAGGCAAACGATTAAAGCTCTAGAAGATGATCATAAAAAACTGGAAAAAGAATTACAGAAAATGCCACAGAAAAAAGATATTAAACTTAAAATGGATGTAATTAAACATAAAATGGATCAAGTAGAGAAAGAAGAATCGGCACAAAAAATTAGAAGTGCTAAACAGAACTATTTTGAAGATGCAAATAGGCCAGGTAGATGGTTAGCATATAAACTGAGAAAAGAGAAAGAATCAAGGAAAATATTACAGTTAATAGATGATCAAGGTCAAATTTGCTATGGGAATAAGGAGAAAAAGGCAATCATTCGAGACTTTTATGGACAATTATATAAACAGGAGGATCTTGATGAGGAAAAAATTAAAATTAAAAAATTAAAATGCTAACCTACCTAAGATACCTGATGAAACTGGAAAAATGTTAGAAAGCACTATAACAATGATGGAATTAACTGAAGCACTTAATAGACAGAATAATGGAAAAGCACCAGGTCCAGATGGGCTTCCGGCAGAATTTTATAAAACACTACAAGAATCGTTGAATATCCCACTGCTAGAAGTCATGAATGAAGTTATGTTAAATAAGAAAATACCTAAAACATGGTCAGAAGCTTATATTACACTTATCCCAAAAGAAGGGGCCGATCCATTACAAATTAAGAACTATAGACCTATTTCTTTATTGAATGCAGACTATAAAATCTTTGCTTCAATTTTGGCAGAAAGGCTTAAAAAATACTTAAACAATTTTATTCACCCTGATCAGAATGGATTTTTACCAAAGAGACAAATTAAAGACAATATGAGGGTAATCCTGGACACATTGGAATATTATGAGGCGCATCCTGAAAAAAAAATGGCTTTGATATTCCTAGATGCCCAAAAGGCATTTGATAATGTGAATTGGAGATTTATGCTATTATTATTGGAACAGATGGGCTTTGCTAGAAAATTTATCCAAGCGATAGAAGCCATATATTATAAGCAAACGGCAAAAGTAATGATAGAGGGAGAATTTACAGACTCCATTAATATAAGAAAAGGTACAAGACAAGGATGCCCATTATCTCCTTTGTTATTTGTATTGACCTTGGAAGTGTTAAATAAAAATATTAGAGAGGACAAAAATATAAAAGGAATGAAAGTTAAAAAGGGGGAATTTAAATTGCAAGCCTTTGCGGATGTCTTGGTCTTTATTTTGGAAGACCCTCTAGAGACAGCTTTAAAACTATTGGAAAAGATAGAGATGTACGGTGAGATGGCTGGTTTGAAAATTAATAAAGACAAAACAAAGATTCTGACAAAGAATATGCTATTAAGACAAAGAGAAGAGTTGGCAGACCTATTGAAAATTCAAGTTACGAACAAAGTTAAATATTTGGGGATACATTTGATGTCTAGATGTATTACATTGAAAGAGAATAACTATATTAAACTTAAACAGCAGATAGCATCTGATCTGAAAAAATGGGAAAACCTACAATTGTCATTGATAGGTAGAATTTCAACAATCAAGATGAATATTTTACCCAGAATTTTATATTTGTTTCAAACAATACCAATTAGGTTAGGTAAAGATTACTTTGAAGAATTAAATAAAATTGTGTTGAAGTATATATGGCAAGGTAAGAAAGCGAGAATAAAATTAAAACTTTTACAGGATGCTAGAATTAGAGGAGGATTTGGCCTCCCTAATTGGGAGTTGTATTACCAAGCTGCAAATTTAATGTGGGCCAAAGAATGGATAACGTTAAGAAAGACTAGATTGTTGACATTAGAAGGACATGACTTATTATTGGGCTGGCATGCTTTTCTATGGTATAAGGGAACTAAATCACAGGGCTATTTTAGAAGGCATTACATACGGGAATCGTTATGGTTGAATTGGGAGAAAATTAAGAAACAATGTTATTTGAAAATTCCAGTTTGGTTATCAACTATTGAAGCTTTTTCTTATCCTATAACATATAAGAAGGAACAAACAGTTAGATATGGGGAAATACTGGATGAAAAGGGTGAACTTAAAACGATGCAAAATTTAGAAGAACTAGGTATAAAGATGAATTGGTTTTCATATGCGCAAATACATTCAAGGTATCTTAAAGATTCTAAAACAGAAGGATTTTTGATAAATTGACTGACTTAGATAGGATTTTGACAGGTACTGATGAAAAAGTGATTAAAAAATTATATAGTTATTTGCTGGAAATTAAATTAGAGGAAGAACAAGTTAAAGAAACAATGATTGCTTGGTGGAAGAATTTTGGATATGGGATTGATTTAGAGAAATGGCAAAAATTGTGGTCTCAAAATTATAAAATGACAATGTCAACAGCATATAAAGAAAATTTGTATAAGATGTTTTACAGGTGGCACTTTCCCCCGACAAGAATAGCAAGAATGTTCAAGAATAAATCTGAAAAGTGCTGGAAATGTCATCAGATACCTGGTTCATATTACCATATGTGGTGGACTTGTGAGGAGGCCAGAAAATATTGGACTAGAATTCGCATATGATTGGAAAAAATGACAAAGAAACATATAGATTTGAAACCAGAGATTTTTTTTATTGGGAATCTTACCTGATACATATAATAAAAACTTGAAGTATTTGATTGTAAATGTATTAACAGCGGCTAGGATTGTATTTGCTAAAAATTGGAAGAGTGAGAAAATACCACCAGAGGAAGAAATTATTAAGAAAATATTGGAATGTGCTGAAATGAGCAGATTGACATTTGAAATTAGAGAACAAGAAGATAAACAATTTTATGAAGTTTGGGATCTTTTTTATCAATGGTTAGATAATACAATATAATAATAGAATATTTAGAAACCTAGGAAATAATAATGAATATACATTTTTTTGTTTTCTTTTGTTTTGATAACATTTTTATAAAATTTTATTTTATTGTATTTTTTAAACAAGTTTTATTAATTTTCAAAACACACAAATCATCATTATCCATTACATGTTTAAACCTTTTTCCATTATAAATTTAACAAGTCAGATAAACTATAATTCTGTTTTAAACCATTTCCATATAAACATACAAAAACCTCTTATCCAGTTTCTCTTTATTTCTCTTTACTCTTATTCAATTTTATTATTATTATTTCATCTATTTCTTTCTGACTTAGTTACCATTATTCTCATTCTATATTTCTGCAAGGTTTTATTAATTCTCCCCCCAAAAAAAAACATATACACACAACACACAAAACATAAAAAAAATCTTTTTGGAAAGTAACTTGGACCCAGGTATCTCTCTCTTTATGGACTTCAATTATGTTCATGCTCATCTTACATATCATTACTTATTTTATTTACCATTCTAAGTCTTCTATATTAACTTCTCCACATATTTCACTCTTCTTAATTCTATCTTAATTAATCATCTAATTTGAGTCATTATATTTGTATCTTTTGTCCATTCTTTATTGTCCCTTTGTCTCGTTCCTTATAAAAAAAAAGAAGTTTCTCCTGAAATCACTAATCAGAGTATGATGCCTTTCTATCTCCCCCCTAAATTAATCAAATTAACCTTTAAAATAACGCCCAATACCCAATCCGATTTTGCTTGGTACATTCTATCTGAATAGTACATCCAGAATAATTAAATACATAGTTAAACAATAGATCTAAATATTAAAAACAAATACTATAATAGAAATTTTATAATAACATCAATACCATAATCTTATTAAACTCTTTAATTAAAACTCAATATTCTAAACCTCCCCTCATATTATTAAATTTTAAAACCAATCATTATTAAACATTTCAACATTTTAATCTCTTATCAACTCTTAAACCATTTAAGTTTTCTATTTCTAATACAATACTACAATATCATCTTATGTACCTTGCAAAATCTCTTTGAAGAAATTATACTTTATCCTTTATCCCTAAAAAAAATTCCTTTTTTCCCATTTAATTTCAAAACTTTGTAGCTTTTCTCCACCTTTTCCCTTTCTTTCTTCTCCCAACAAACCTTTCTACCCCCCCTTCTTCTAGCCTCTGCCTTACTGGCTTCCCTTCTCTGTCGTATTCCTTTTCCCTTTTGTTTACTATCATTATATTGATTTTGCACCTTATTTTTCCCTTTCTTAAGTGTTTTTTTAAATCTTAAGTCCTTTATTTCTCTTCCTTTCCCTCTTCCTTCTTTCTTGGTCGAGTTCTGAAATTTATTAAAAATGGCTTCCTCTCCTTCTTCTTCTTCTGCTGTCTTCATCTGTTGTAATGTTTGTTGATAGTTAATAAGCGCCATTTCTTAAAAAAGGAAGGCTTCTTTCAAACCAGCTTTACCATTTTTTTTGCTTGTTCATAATCTTTTCTCAGTTCCTCAATAGAAAGAGCCATTATAAATCTTTTCTTTTCTTTTCCCCTTCTTTCTTCTTACAACAACCAGAATATTCCAAAGAAAAAATAAAACAGTCCCAAAGTTATCAATCAGTCCAAACCAAGGCAGAGTTCTCACTTTCTCCTCCTGGGGTAGTATCAATCAGAGAAAAAGAAAGTCCAAATCTGTTTCTTAAAATCTTATTGCAATATATTTTAGTCTTCAAATCCTTAAGGCATCTCCTCCAACAAAGTCTTAGCATACAAATATTTTTTTTTTTTAGTCCTCTCTCTTCCCACTCATCGCTTAAAGCCAGTTTTCACCTAAAAAAAATAGGTTTCTTAATATTCACTTATTTATTCCGTAGGAAAAGAGGGTAAGCTTTCCTTTCAGCACCATCAAACTGCCGCTTTTTTCCTCTTCTAGAAAGTATCATTCAGAAAGTAATACTTTTCAGGAATTTTGTTAAATATGTCTTAGAGTCCTAGGAACCAAGAAAAACTTTCTCCTTTCAAAAACTTTCTCCACTTCCTCCTGCGCATTCTTACCCGGCTGCCAGCTTCTTTGTGGCGCCCATTACGGACCGCCGCTGCACCGTCTTGGGAAGAGGGGGTTCTGCCGGCCGGGGAGGGGGTCTGCAACACCCCCAAACCCCTCTCCGGATCCCCCCTACCTTCAGCTGCCCCTGCAGGGCAGCCTAGCTCCGTACCCGTCCGGATCGGAGCCCCAAAAGTGGCTAGCGCAGCAGGGATCGCGCAGCTTTGCGAATCCCTGCCGCTCGCGAAGCCGACAAACCGGAAGTCCCCACATTTTTATAAAATTTTATTAAGATAGACTTGGTATGATTTTATGATCTGTTATAAAATAAATTAAGTAAATTATAGTTATCTCGCTTAAGTATGAATTAATAAAATTATAGTCAAATGATTGTTTAATAATAATATTAGGATATATAATTGTTGATTGATGAGTTATTATGTAACATAATTATAATGGTGACTATGAAATGGATGCACAAAAAAGAGTGGTAAACCAACCGATACACTGTCTGTAAATTTATGAAGGAGGATGATGCTTTTATGTTTGATGTCTTATGTTTTATGTGTTTTTGTTTGTTGTCAAAGTCAATAAAACTTTTACTTAAAAAAAAAAAAAGAAACATCACATTAACATACAACTGTCCTTTGAACATATTGCCTTCGGGATGAGTCACTTTGTTCAAAACAAATTTCATACATACATACATACATACATACATACATACATACATAAATATTTTAAGTATAATAAAATAAATTTCAAAAATACATTTTTTTTTTAAATTTAATAAAAGTGCATTACAGATCACTTTCTATTATAGTAAAACAAAGACGTGTGGAATTCTGGATTTTTTAAAACTATGATTTTCAGACATCCACACTAATATAACCAGGATTGAGGATCCTCAGAACAAAATTTAGAGCAAAATTCAATATTTAGAGCATCATAATTAAAATAGTTGTTGCATAAATTTTCAGACTTACTACAGCATGAAAAAAATACAACAAGAATTTTATTGAAATATTACTTGATTTTGCTAAACATCTTTACTTATTCACAATCATGTATTCTGCAGTTTAAAATCTAAAGCTCACAAGTATAATCTAGAGAAGACATAGGCCTGCTAATCATAATAGCAAGCAATGGAATAAGGATAATTTCAATGGTAAATAACCTGCTATTATAAATAGGCTTTGTTGTCTTTCTTACATTTTAAACCTTGAGCTATCCATTTTTGGTGCAGAACATTTTGATTTTTTTTTCTTTAAAGTTATATAAGAGTAATTATTTCTCCTTTTAATTTGAAATATTTATAATTAAGTCTGGTAAGTTAGAATGATAAATTTGTATTTGTGAAGCAGCAATACCTGTTCTTTGGTCAGCTTCAGGCTTGCGCTGTTGCATTCTTCATTAATCAGATATTTCATATAGCTGACAGTTAATGGTTCAAGATGAATGGTAGGCCACAGCCTTTCAATGAAAAAGCAGAAAATGATAGTCATGTATGGAATTTAATGTGTGTAGAGTAGGTTCAAATGCAAGAACTATTTTAAAAATCCAGGGCAAATCTCTTAATCTTCAGCGTTCTGAATGTTATGTATGCCAGACAGTAAAACAATCACTTAAAAACACAACTGTCTCAAAAATAAAATAGCGATCATTAATGGTTCTTCATCAAACTAAGGTGCCAGAAATCTTATACTCCAATATTTTTATTAAAAGACTTAAATTGGAAACAATTCATCAACTGTATGGGAACAATAGCGGACTCAAGACACCCTGTGGGGTGCCTGTACTCAAGAAGATGGAGTTGGAGACTTTTCTTCCAACTTGCACAAACTGGGCTCTATCAATAAGGAAATCCAGTATCCAATTTCAAAAAGGAATATTAAAACCTAATAGGCCCAGTTTGTTCACCAGATGCTGAGGCATGATTGTGTTGAATGCCAAACTAAAATCAATAAACAGCATTCGCACATGAGTATTCTTCTCTTCCAGATGCTAAGGTAAGATGAAGAACACAAGAAAGTGCATCATCTATAGCAGTGATGATGAACCTTCTTGTTGTGGTGTGCCGAAAGCGCGTGCACCATCACCCACAATGCAATATGCCTCCAGCACATACGCGCACAACACTCCTGCCTCCCCTTACCTGCACTGTGCATTCATATGCCTCACAGCTGATTTTTGGCCCATTTGAGGCTGTTTTTGTCCTCCCAGAGGCTCGAGGGAAGCCTCTGGAGGCTGAAAATGGGCCCCTTTCGGCACTTCCAGTATTTCCAGAAGGCCTGTTTTTTGAAAATCAGCTGGGAGGCGTGCGCATGCGCAATGCAGGTAAGTTTGGATGAAGCTCATATGCCCGCAGAAATGGCTCTGCATGTCACCTGTGGCAGGTGTGCCATAGATTCACTCTCATGGATCTATAGAATGGTTCTTCCGATAGACAAACTATAATGAGTTGAATATAGGGGGAAAACATGAAATTATATAGTCCTTTGCCAATCTCTTGAAACACTTCATCGTAATGGAAGTGAGTGCAACTGGATGGTAATCATTAAGGCATGCAATTATAGTTTTTTTGGACACTGGTACAATGATTGCAGTCTTAAAACAAGATGGAACCATAGCCTAATGTAAAGGTCTTCAAACTTGGCAAGTTTAAGACTTCTGGACTTCAACTCCCAGAATTCCTGAGCTAACAGGACTGGAGGAGGAATTCTGGGAGTTGAAGTCCACAAGTCTTAAAGCTGTCAATTTGAAGACCCCTGCCTAATGCAACGAGACATTGAAGATGTCTGTGAGAACAGTGGGCAGCCAGTCAGAACACTCCTTAAGTACTTGCCCAGGGATAATATCAGGACCTGCAGCTTTTCAAGTATTGACTTTCTGCAGTACCTTCTGAGTAGCAATTGTATCACATTTGTAAACGCATCTCTCACTTGCATTGTGAAGTGGTATAATTCAGGAGCATGTATATTTTCTGAATGGCCATCACAGCCACCTTGTTACAAAAAGTATGTTGCTTTCTTCATAGATATGCCTATTTGTCTTCATGATTCATAGTAAAAACATTCTGCCATATGGACTGTACAGATGGAGCTGACTCTTATAAGGCACTTAACTTTCTGCTGTCTGCAACTGAGATAAAAACTACCATGTCTGATTTTTCCCAGCTGAATAGCGTAGTTTATTGTATAACAAAACAAGTTTACCTCCAAGCTTGTGGACAACTTTCAACATTCACAGATACCACAACTCTTACATTCACTGGCAGTGGATCAATCAGCCACTTCATATGCTTTTCAGCTTGCTGAGAGACATAAGGTTAATTTAAAATTCAGAATGCTGTAACAGGTTAAAAATACATGTACTTCTTTCAGCTGCCTACATAAAATAGAACTGCACCAGTGGTTGGTTTCAAAGTTTTTTACTACTGGTTCTGTGGGTGTGGCTTGCTTGGTGGGTGTGGCTTGGTGATCATGTGACTGGGTGGCTGTGGCTTGGTCATGTGACTGGGTGGGCATGGCCAACTCAATGTCACTCACTTCAAGGGGTGCCTTGCCCGGCCCCTCTGCTCCCAGTCATTCCTTGTCACACCCAGCCTCAACGTATCTATAGTTCTTTAAAAATGTTGTTCACCTTTTTTTGACTTTATTATCTACATACTATAGATGTACTTTCATGGACCACTGAAAGGAGGAAATGGCTCACATGCTTTGCCCAAGAGTGTGGTAGGCAACAGGCTTTTAAGGGGCTGCCAGAAAGAAGGTGGGGGGGCAATGTATTTTCCAAAGCACCAGAAGGCAAACAAGAAGCAATGGATGGAAACTGAACAAAGAGAGAAGCAACCTAAAACTAAGGAGAAACTTCCTGTCAGTAAGAACAATTAACCAGTGGAAATGCTTGTCTCTGGAGTTCTGGGTGCTCCATCATTGGAAGTTTTTAAGAAAAAATTGGACAGCTATTTCTCTGAAATGGTATGGGTTCCCTCCAAGATCCCTTCTAAGTGTTATTCTGTTATTCTGACATCTTTCCCAGGACCTCAGAGTTTGGCATCCTCAGTTTTCCTGCCTGAGCAGGGGATTGGACTAAAAGACCTCTCACACAAACACACACTGTCTCTCTCCCACACACATCTGGTCTGGGACGAACTGATCCGGCAAGCTCCAGAGCAGTGGGCTGTGGGAGAAGGAGAAAGCAAGCAGCCCTGGGACATCCACCCGCCCTCCATTTCAGAGCATATCCGCCACCATTCACTTTTCCCAGGTGATGAAAGGAAATGGGCAGTGGTGGAGACACCTCCACCACTGCTACAGGAGGCAGCCCCAGGAGCCCCCGCCTTCCCTCCCAGAGCACTGCCGCCGCCTGCTTCTCCCGGGTAATGAATGGTGATGGTGATGGCTGTGGCCAGACCCCTTTTTTACTTTCGCCTCTGGGAGAAGGAAGAAAGTGGGCGGTGATGGTGGTGGCGGAAGCATCCTGAGGCCGCTCCTTTCTTCCTTTTGTCCCTCGGGAAAAGGAAGAAAGTGAGCGGCAGCGGTCCCAAGGACTGAAAGGAAAGCAAACGGCCGCCACAGCGGTATTCCGGGAGGGCGGGTTGGGCAGAAGAACCGGGGCTGCTACACGTGGGCGTCTCTGCCTCCCCTCTCAGCCTCAGCACAGCAGAGATGCCTCCCAAGGGCTGGCCACCCACCCGCTGGCCAGGCCGGGCCGGAAGCAGCGTGTCCCCCAGGAGAAGAAAGCGAGCGGCGCTGCTGCTCCCTCTACCAGGAGGACGGGCGGATGTCCCAGGGCTGCACATGCAGTGCTTTCTTCCTTTTCCCGGGGGACAAAAGGAAGAAAGTGAGCGGTTGCAGCGCTGCTCCTCTGGCAACCAACCGGTGCTGCTGCAAATTGCGCACATGTGCAGCCCCGGGACATCTGCTTGCCCTCCTGGTCTCGCCAGGTGAGCCTGGGAATGAGGGGAGCAGCTAGCTGGGATGGGGCCACACCAGCAACGAAGCCAGCCAAGAGAGCCCAGGGATGGGGGGGGTTTGGCAAGCTCGGAGGATGATGAGAGAGGGGGAGGCAAGCTCCGGAATGGTGGGGGAGGGGGGAGGCAAGCTCTGGGGATGGTGGTGGTGGGGCTAGTGTGACTCGCAGGAAGATCAGGGCTGCTCAGTTGGGGCACAGGCACCATGTGGGAAGGCAGGTTAAAAATGCAAATTAGGAGGACCCAGTGTGGAGTGAGGAGTGACTGGGAGGAGCGAGCAAGCATCAGGCGGGGCAAGTGTTGGGCAGGCGGGGCAAGCGAACGAGCAGCGATCGGGTCAGGGGCATGGCCAGCCAGAAGTCACTACTGGTTTGGCGACCCATGCATCATTGCCAATGGGCTCACAACCTCTGGTGATCACAGAAAAAGAAGTGCAAGATCTATTACACAGACAGAAGCCAGGAAAAGCACCAGGGCCAGACAAGATAACTCCTTCTTGCTTAAAAGTCTGTGCTGACCAACTAGCTCCCATCTTCAACTGAATCTTCAATAGATCACTAGAGATGTGCTATGTTCCTTCCTGCTTCAAACGTTCTACCATCATCCCAGTGCCAAAGAAGCCATCAATCAAGGAACTGAACAACTACAGACCAGTTGCTCTAACATCTGTAGTTATGAAAATCTTTGAAAGGCTTGTACTGTCCCACCTGAAAACCATCATAGATCCGCTGTTAGAACCCATGCAGTTTGCATACCGAGCAAATAGATTGACAGATGATGCTGTTAACATGGCTCTGCATTACATCCTACAACACCTTGAATCTCCAAATACCAATGCAAGGGTCCTCTTTGTAGACTTCAGTTCAGCATTCAATAGCATCATTCCAGACACTCTTCTAAGTAAATTAAACCAACTAGCGGTACTTGAACACACTTGTAAGTGGATCATAAGCTTCCTAACAGACAGGAAGCAGCAGGTGAAGCTAGGCGGAATCACATCTGATACCTGTACAATCAGCACAGGGCCCCCCCAAGGCTGTGTGCTATCTCCACTTCTCTTCTCCCTATATACCAATGATTACATCTCAAACGATCCATCTGTTAAAATACTGAAGTTTGCTGATGACACAACAGTGATTGGTCTCATTCGAGACAACGATGAATCTGCATACAGACAGGAGGTTATACAACTTGCCTCGTGGTGTAACCAGAACAATCTGGAACTGAACACACTCAAAACTGTATAAATGGTGGTAGAACTGAACACACTCAAAACTGTATAAATGGTGGTAGACTTTAGAAGAAACCCTATCATTCTACCACCTCTTACAATACTAGACAACACAGTATCAACTGTAGAGACCTTCAAATTTCTAGTTTCTACTATATCACATGACGTAAAATGGACACCTAACATAAAAAACGTCATCAAAAAAGCACAACAAAGAATGTTCTTTCTGCGCCAACTTAGAAAGCTCAAACTGCCCAAGGAGCTGCTGATACAGTTCTACAGAGGAATTATTGAGTCTATCATCTGCACCTCTATAACTGTCTGGTTTGGTTCTGCAACCCAACAGGACAGACACAGACTTCAGAGGATAATTAGGAGTGCAGAAAAAACAATTACTACCCACCTGCCTTCAACTGAGGACCTGTATACTGCACGAGTCAAAAAGAGGGCTTTTAAAATATTTACAGACCCCTCACGTCCCGGACACAAACTGTTTTAACTCCTTTCCTCAAGATGACGCTATAGAGCACTGCACACCAGAACAACTAGACACAAGAATATTTTTTTCCCAAAAGCCATCTCTCTGCTAAACAAACAATTCCCTCAACACTGTTCAACTATTTACAAAGTGTACACTACTATTACTGTTCATCTTCTCATCACTCCTTATCACCCATCCCCTCCCACTTGTGATTGTAGGACTGTAACTTTGTTGCTTGTATCCTTACGATTTATATTGACTAGTATGATTTGATTGTTGATTGTACCCTATGACTATCATTATGCTTCTTGATTCTTAACGAATGTACCTTTTCTTTATGTATACTGAGAGTATTTACACCAAGACAAATTCCTTGTGTGTCCAATCATACTTGACCAATAAAGTATTCTGTTCTATTCTATTCTATTCTATTCTATTCTATTCTATTCTATTCTATTCTATTCTATTCTATTCTATTCTATTCTATTCTCTGGTTCTCCCAAACCGGTGTGAACCGACTGAATACTACTACTGAACTGCACACATACATAGCATAAAACTAGGTGTCTGATGTTACATTATAGTTACTGTCTCCAGAAAAAAGGACCTTTTCCTGGCCTCTCTATAATGAGATTTTGTTTTAGCTTAAGATGTTTCAGGCAATGTTTTGATTATTAAACATGCTTTATATTATAATTTAAGATTATATGTTTATTATATTGCTTGGACTGTTTGATTGAATATATAAAATAAACCATAGATTAGCAGCATATGGGAATCCAGCCATCAGGAACAAGGAACAATATTCTGTCCCAGTTCTATTCAAGTATCTTATTTTCATGTGTATGCAGTTATAAATGTGAATGTATTTTCTCTATGTTTCTGGTGCATTGTGCAAAAAAAAAAAAGTATGTATCTTGTTAAGTAGTAAAAAATAATTTAAGCAATTCTAAAACCATCTTTCAGTAAAAGTGGAAGTCAAAAAATACTATACCTGTATTCGATCAATTGAATCAATAATGATTATAATGCTGCCTTGCTGGCGAGAAGAAAGTTTCTCTAACCAACGAGGAAATTCTTCTAATAATTTAGCTGGCTCCAATGAAGTAGGTGAAACTGACCAGGAATTTTGCATAAGCTATGAAAAGAATAAACAGAAACAAAAATCTAAATAATATTTTATCTAAAAATGAAACAAAGAAACAGATCTTATTTTACTTCATATGATTGAAATTTTTATATGTAAAAAAATATTAGAAAACAATTTATGGTTACTTTACCCTGTCATCTTTCTGTCCAAAGCCTGGAATAGGAAATTAATAATACATTAACAACCTCTAACTCCAGATTTAGCTTATATGCTACCCCAAAGTTTAAGTAGGCCAAGAACAAAACTAAACTGGAATTAAATGTTCCGTAATTTAGTTAGCATACTAATTCTAACCATAAAAATGTTATATATTTTCCTTTTCCTCAGCCTAATGACAGACCCAATGTCACTTTGTCACAGCATAGGTACAATATACTATTCTGAAAATATAACATAGAATAATAGTACTGAGATATTATTAAGACCTTATAAAAGAAACAAAGTCAAATATAATAAATTATATTCCACAGACCAGAAGCCCTGGGAAAATCTCCCCAAAAGTCTGCAGGAAAATTCCACACACCATTTTCCTACCGATCGATCATTCTTTATTAGGGATAGCAGGATACCATCTTCAGCTCTGTTCTCAGGGAGAGGGAGAGGGGGAGAGAGAGAGAAAGAGAGAGAGACAGAGACAGAGACTGATTGACTTTTGGCTTCATGCAAGGAAAGCAGCAGAAGCCGAAGTCTTTCTTTCTCTCTCCTAAACGCCAGAAATGAGTCTTTGTGAGACTTGTCTTCCTGGCGCAGCCTCTTGGAGCAGGATGCCTTGCAGGGTCCCAAAGACTCATTTCTGGCAGAATTTGGGGGAGAGAAAGAAAGACTTTTGCTGCTTTCCTTGCATGCAGCCAAAAGCAGAAGAAGAAAGAAGCAGAAAGAAGCAGCCCGGTGGCCAGACAAGGCGCGTGGGGCAAGTTCCCCCCCTCTGCCCTTTCCTCCCTCCCCTCACTACCTCGTGTTGTTCGCAATGCAAGCGACGCAAGCCTTGTGTTCCCGCGCAGCCTGGATTAATTGCTTTGGGGGTGCTTTGGGGGTGACATTTCTCTGCAGACCACCAAATTTTCTCGCAGACCACCAGTGGTCCCCGGCCCACTGGTTGGTGACCACTGTACTAGCAGAACAGCTGTCAATTGAGAAACCTAAATTATGCTTGCCTAAAGCCAGAAACATAGGTAATATAGCCTTGTTTTATTCCTTAGTCAGATAGCTAGAAAAGATAGCAGAATACATTTCTTATGCTCGATACTTTATAATAAAGGGAGATTTTTTTTTTTGCTTTTGCAAATTTGATGCTAAGGACAAATAAAAGTAAATTTTAACCTTCAAATTATTACACTTCAACAACATATGGGCTTCCGGTTTTGCGTGGCTTCGGCAGCAGCAGGAATTTGCAATTCTCCACGATTCCTGCTGCGCTCGCCGCCAAGGTGCCCCCGATCCAAATGGGTCTGGGGGATATGGCTGCCCTGTAGAGGCAGCCGAAGAGAGAGGGGATCCGGACAGGGGTTTGGCGGTGTCGCAGACCCCCTCCCCAGCCGGAATAACCCTTTTCCCAAGGTGGTGGAGCGGCGGTCAGTAATGGCCTCCACAAAGAAGCCTGCAGCCGGGTAAGATTTGTGCTGGAGGAAGCAGGAGAAGTGAAAGTGCTGGCTGAACCGGGACAATAAGAAACTCTTTAGCCTGGAAACTGAACTGCTTGAATTGTTTGAAGGAGACATTGTTTCCCAAAGAAGTTTGGAAAACGGCGAAGAAAGCTGTCAAGGGAAAGTTTTTTTTTCTTCACTCTCCTTCCTCATAGAAATAGCAGACGGAGATCTGGAAAATCTACTTGGGCACTGAAGGTAATCCAATTTGAAATTTAAAGCCAAGGGATAAAGGATTTCTGGACACTGGATTTAAGAACTTAAAATTCTTTCTACTTTTTATAAGGGGAAGGGAAGAGGTAAAGGCTTATTATAAGATTGTACTGAAGGAGACTGCTTTGAGACTATAAGAACAGGAATAAAAGGCATTTAGACTTCTAGAAGATCAGCTTGGAACTGTGTATTTGAATTCTACCCTAGGAGGTGAAAATATAGAAAGAAGAAAGTGCTAAATGAAACTGTTTGTTCTGATTTGGTTTGCTTTGTGACTTTGAGATTTCTGTGAATTTTTGTTAAGAAAGAAAGGGGGGGGGGACTAAAGACATTAGGGTTGCCTCAAAAAAGAAAGAAAGAAAAAGTGGCATTATCTTTTGAAGGATTACAAATGGAATTTCAAAGACTGAAAGAAGAAGATAAGGGCTCTTCTGGATCTATTTTTCATTTTTTAGAAATGGCGATTGCTACCTATCAAGAAATACGACGACAGGAAGACTGGGATGAAGGAGAAGAAGCCATCTTTAATGGACAAACACACTTAGTGGAAGAAGAAAAGCGGAAGGGGGGCAAGGAAAAGATGAACTTAGAACTCAAAAAAGCAACCAAGAAAAAGAAAAATGAGATGAAAAAGCGATATGATGTCAGAAAGCAACAGAAAAGAGAAATACAACAGAGAGGGAAGACCAAGAGAGTGAAATTTGAGAGATGGGGGGGTCAAAAAGCTAGAATGGATAAGAAAGAAAGGGGAAAAGGAAAGAAAAGTCATAAAGGCTTTAAACAAAATGCTAAAAAATGAATTTTTTTCAGAGATAAGGGGTAAGATAATTTTATAAAAATGATTCTGCAAAAGTACATAAGAATGTATTGTAGACATTAGTATTTGAAGCTGAGTTAGAAAATCAGAATATTATATGATTTAAAAATGTATTAAAGGGAAGCCATGATTTAATTATAGAGTTTAATCTCTTATGAAATATTATTTTTATTGTTTAAGAATTAATAATAGAATCTAATTTTCTATGAAACATTGTTCTTATTATATTATAAATTTAACATTCCTTTTTCTTTTTTTTAGTTTTATTATTACTTATTAAATTCAATATTATTTGTTAGTTTTATTATTCTGAAATGTAATATTTAGAATGTATGGAGCAGAATCAGTACGGAAAATATGTATTATTTTAAGTGTTATTTAGGGGAAAGATAAAAAGTTGTCATACTTCAATCTGGGTTTACAGGAGAAATATTGTATTAGATAGAAAGGATAAGTAGGTGATTGAAAGAAAACGGACCAAAGATGCAAATATAATTATTTAATCGAGATGGAATAAATAAAATAGAATTAAAAGAATGAGTAGGAGAGAGAAAATATATAGAAAATAGAGAATGTTAAATAAGATATGAGATAGTATATTAAGTGAGTAAAAACTTTGATTGATGTCTGTATAAAAAGAGTTAACCCGGGGTAAGCCGCCTTCCAAAAAGAAGTTTTATGTATTTATGTTTTGTGTAATGTTTGTTTAAGTTTGATAGGATGTGGAAGAATACTAATGAAATTATATTCAATGAGTATATAACTTTAAGGCAGAAGAAATATGATTAATTAAAAGGAAAGGGAATAATAAAGAGAAGTTTGGAAAAGATATGAAGCTGATCAGATAAGATAAATATTTATATCAAATTATAGAAATGTGATAATTTGGAATTATCTTCATTTAAATAATAAGATGGTTTATTTGTTTCTTTTAGAAAAGATATTTTATGTTACTACATCCTATGTTTTGTTTGTGTGTGTAAAAAAACTAATAAAGTTTGTTCAAAAAAACAACAACATATGGATTTGTAAATATCCAAAAAATTGAGTTTCTGCAGTCCCAGAATCTCTATTTTAATTTTACAAGATGTTTAAATCAAAATATATTTGACACAGTTTCATTTACTATCCCTATAATCTCACTTGGCAATTTATACTGTGTTAACTAAATTCTCAATATTAATCTTACTTTAGAGTTTAATTTTGATTTTTAGACTATAAAATATTGAAATATGTTCAGATTAATAATCAACTAGCTCTATACTGAAACATTTAATTTCTATGACATTTTTAAATCCCAAATTTGTTAATTTGTCTGAAATATTTAATCCCTTTTTCTAGTTTCTTTTTTATATTTATATTTTTTAAAAACATCAAATGGAAATATAAAAAAGAAATTTAAGCATAATATAGAGAAATAGAATTCGCATTTTATTAGGTGAAAAAATATTCTGGTTCCCATATGCTGATACACAGTAAAATAGACCTACTTTTAAAGTGAGACGTTTGAGAATCAATGTAGGCTCCGAACTGCTCGACATTGGTTTCCCAACAAAATGATAGAGAATGAGTGTATTTGGAGAATGCTTCTGTTGTAACTGAATCCTAATAAGAAAAAAAAATATTTATCAACTCAAATACTACAAACAGTTTTACCAAAATATAGATGATTATGTTGTTACACTGGAGAGATTTTTTATACAGCTATATTTAATTTTTTAAACATTGAACTATCAACTAGATAAAAAAAGTAGAAAAGAAAATCTCTTGACCCTTGCATCAAGAGACTAGTCCACTTAGTTTAGAGTCAACATACTACCGGTAACTGGCAGGAGATCTCCAGGAACTCATAATTTTTTCCAGCCTTGTCTTGAGATATTAGGAACTGGATATACTTTCTATATATAACACATTTTGCCAATGAACTGCCATTCTTTTCCAAAGATTTAAACTTCTGTGCTGCAGTTTCTTTGGCATTTAGAGTAGAAATCTAAATGGTGTCATCAATAAAAGTTTAAATTCTAGATAAATTAAGGTAAAAAACCAGGCTTCTGTATAGTGTTCGTCTGTGAGTCAGACTTTTACAGTGGTTTCCGATTTAAATTTGGGGCAGCCTATTGCTGTGCCAGAATGGTTTTTTCT